CTGGGGATAATCCTGGATGGAGAACTTCCACCAATGCCCTCACTCCCGCTATGCCTGGACTTTGAAACACCACCCCCTTCTTAACCTCCTGAGACTCTGTGTCCTCATTAAAGGACGTCACATTTTCGGTTTACTTGACCTTATACTTCATTCTACTTAACTCAGACCTGTTGTCCCCGTTCTTGGACCCTTCACTGTGCCATCTAGTGGTAGTAAGAGAACAATACACTAATCCATGTAAAAACAAGATGGTGATCCTGACACAAAAGTGGACAAGGTCCAAATCCTGATCACATTTTATGGTTGAGACTTTTTTATTAATGATATATAATGTTTGTAGTTTGATATGACAACAAATTTGACCAATTTTATCAACGGTAACAAGCTAAGACACTGTTAATTAGGAAGTCCTCGTTTGAGGACACTGGGACATAATTATTGTTGATAATGTTTAGTTTTTTTATACTTATCGGGTCCTACTGATACTAAATAGCTAGGAGAAATTAAAAATGCATACCAAACAAAAGTTCGGGTCTCAGAAGGATAAGAGCAGAACAGCCCCCCGTAAAACCATCTGCAAGAGTGGAAACAACCCTCCTGGATACTGCCTGGGACTGGAAGATGCAGGTTGACCTGGATCAGAAACTTTCCACCAGAGGTGGCTACAACTACTCTCAGGCTGGACCTGATCTTGTAGTCATCCTCACAGGAGTCCTTGTGCATCATGGAGCTAACAATACCATGGGAGGCTGCAGCTGGGGAAGCCTATGAATGCAAAGGCCAGAAGTACACAGACGTAGTAGCTGAGGCAGAACAACATGGCTGGTGTACCCGGGTGCTCCCTGTAGAGGTTGGGTGTAGAGGCTTTGTAGCCACATCATCAACCAGGCTTCTGAGGAGTATTGGGGGTTAGAGGACAGGCCTTCTGACAAGCCATCAAGTCACTTTCAGAGGCTGCTGAGAGAAGCAGCAATTGGCTTTGGATGAAGAGGAAGGACTCCAACTGGTCTGCAAGATGTCCAACATGAGGGGTAAAAGCGGAGGGGGGCACACCTGGGTGGTCAGGTGTCCCTGTTGAGCCCTCCAGAGGTGTCGAGTGCCTATCAATGAAACACCGGTGAAGGAGGGTGCCCACATGATGAGCCCAATGAAGTGATTACCCCTCTCCCACTCAGGTCACAAACCACCAGGCAAGTGCTGATTACTCCTAGGGATTGTAACAAGTCCAACAAGCCCGATGGCAAATATGCTTCACAATGGGCTCTGAAAGATTGTTTGACTTGCATTTGGTGCCACAAGAGTCATAAAACTAAACTGCCGTCATCAGTGAGAGATGATGCATTATGGTATATAGATTAAGCATAGGGGGCCTTCATGAATATGTATCAAAGTGCAGTTATGTTATTTCAATTATTGTTACTATCCCAATTATTGTCACAGACCATTTTAACACGTTTAAATATTCTTCTTCTCATGCATATCCATGATTAATTCTAGATAACCCTTTCATTTAAACGCCACATGTGACAAAGAAGAAAAAAGGGCTGCTTCTCCAGCTTATTTCAGCCACTTTTTGGCATTTGCTTGACTCTGGGAAAATACTGCACATTCTTTCATCTTCTTAGGATACTCGAGCACGAAGATTTATCACAAACAGTGAGGCTGCTACACTTCACTGTTCACTGGGGTCGGCTGGCACGCACTTATCTATAATGCCATGACAGCCACCTCGTCTCTAAAAATGTATTCAGCAGACATATGTGACCGGCTCTTTTCACTCCTCGGGATTCATTTAGTTCCCAACACTTAGTGTAGTGGATTAAGTAAAATAACATTTATGTATGCTGCTCCATCTGCCTGTAACCAACAATCAGATCTATTCTAATCTAAATTGCAAAATGTTGTTTCTCTCTGTGAATTCAAATCATTGCTGCAGTAACTCTGTGTGTGTTCTCTCTCCTCTGGTAGCTTTTTTTGTGATTCATCAGGTTAAAGAATACTCCCCCCCCCCCCCCCCCCCAAAAAAAAAAAAAAATTACCATTTGTACATCAATTACTCACCCTGTGCAACCTGAATTTGTTAAGAAAACTTTCTGGCATGCCTCCACACTCTTTAGTAACAGCACACAATGAGAGTTTGTAAACAGATGTTTTGATGTAGTTTTGCTGTTTTGGATTCTTCATTCACTGAGGGCATGCAGGAACTGGAATTCAGTAACACTCTCATCACAGATTTAAACATTTATTACAACAAATGGAAATACAGTTATACTTGATGCTGATGGCTCAACTCTTAATATAAACCAACACATGGAACGCAATGCAGAAACCCCCACCCCCGGGTTTACAAGAATGGGCCCAAAGCAACACAGAGACCACCCTTTTAACCTTTAAGCCATGTTAGGACTCTGAATTAGGAAGGTGGAGGCTGGAGTAGAGGAGGTGAAGCTTTGCTGGCAGCAGCAGCAGCAGCAGCAGCGGTGTGTGGCAGCATTAGTGTAGCAGGTGTCGATGACCAGGAGGCCATATTTAAATGGACTGCCTTGTTGTGGGAATGGGCTGAGATTGGTGTGTGACTGATTAGAAGCAATGATGCAATCAGCTGGTTACAGCTGGGGTGTATGACTCCCATGCCCTGCATGAACTAACGCGAAGCTTCATTTACTGTTTCATGGTTTTAATGCCTCCGTGTACCAGTCAAGTTGCAGTTAAAGTTAACATCATGTCCGCCCAAACTAATATGTAGCCATGACAGTCTACAATGCTTCAAATATGAATGTTGCTGCCAAGAACCTACATAATTCTAAAACGTGGACGCTTCAACAGAAGATCTATAGAATCAGTTTCAAGATTAGTGTCACCAATTCAGTCTCCCCTTCCCCAGTAATGGTTAAAAAAGTGCTTTTGTAGAACATAATGGTTTCCCAGTGAAGTTGACCTTTGACCTTTTGGATATTAAATATCATCACTTTATCATTTTATTCCATTAGAGCTTTGTGTGAAATCTTGTCATAATTAGTATATGAATTCTTGAGTTACCGCCAAAAACATGTTTTGCGAGGTCACAGTGACATTTAACCACCAAGAGGGCGTTTGTGCCAAATTTGAAGAAATCCCCTCCAGGTGTTGAGATGTCATGTTCACAAGAATCAGGAGGATGCAAAGTCACAGCGACAGTGACCTTTGACCACTAAAAGTTACTCAGTTCATTATTGAGTCCAAGTGGACATTTGTGCCAAATTTGGAGACAAGTCTTCCTTAATGTTTAGGATTCGTCTTGTTTATTTTTATGTTTAAAGACCCACCCAGTCTCATTTCGAAGATGTCGAAATGCAGCACTTGGGAAGTGACTTGCGGCGTCAGACACCGACGAAAAGCCGTCCTTAAACGTCGGCATGATATGCGGCCAGTTGCTGTTATAGTTTAATAGCGCCTGACGACATCACAGGGAAATGCGTTGGGACAAGAATGAAAATAAGGTGGCAAAAGTCCAACTGGGGCATCGGGGAGTAGTGGTGGATGGGTTCAACAAACACCAACTTTCACCCAAGAGGTGTTGGCGTCTCATGAGACTTTAAAGCCAAACCCTGTTCTGTTTCCTAAACCCAACCATGTGCGTTTGCTATTGAAGGAAAAAAAAGTCAATTCGTGTTGTACCGACATAGTGCGTTTATTTTGAAAGCGACTGTATGTTAACGTTTAATTTCCTGTGAAAACAGAAGTGTATTTTGAAAGAAGACAATGCATGTAACAGGCTGAACTTGACATGGCGTCCCAGAACATCAACAACTAACACACCCAGGGTACCTTTCACATTGTATTTGGACATGGAAAGTCCAAACGTCGATATGTGACGAGGTCAGAGTGAGAATATGACACATCTTGGGTTCTTTAGGGTGTGTTATTTGCCTGTAACTTACTGCTCATACTGTGGATGTTGGCCAAAACACTCTTGAAAAAGATTTTTAATTTCAGTAAGGCTTTCCTGATGAAGCACAGGTTAAGTAAACAGTAGTAATCCAAGGTTTAATATAGTCTCCAATAAATGCACCATTCCCATATAACTAAAAAATAGGCCCTTTAGGAGTTTATTTAACTCTTTTTCTAAGTAACCATATCTGTGAGCTGTTTTTAAAGATACTTTCTTCAGTAATAAAGGATGAGTTTGGGGCTAAGTGCACGGACACAGCAGGGATTCGGTCACAACCTCTCCTCTCTCTGCCAATGTCCTCAGAGAGACACAAACATCCACATAACAGTGAAATGGATGGACAAAAAAAAAAAAAAAAAATTTCACACATCTAACTTTACGCCCTGTGGCTGAATGTCGGTACAGTCTGTCTGGATAGCAGGTGTGAAAACTGTCTGGTACACACTTCTTTCCATCTGCCTTCATCCACTCCTCCCTCTGATTTCTCTCCTCTTTCACCTTGAAAAAAGAAATCCATATCATTCCACGCAGCTCCGGGCTGAAAATCTCACACTGAGCTCCTGACGGATGTGACAACACGGTTAAATATATATTGTAGTAGAAGTAATTAGGAAGCTTAAGGGCCAGCGGCTGGATCCTCATGTGTCCTCTAATTTTAAACTCCCTAACCTTGCCTTAAAACATCTTAACCACACATTGGGACACTGGCTAGAGAACATGACGTCATACTCCTCTAAACAAAACACACAGACGTGAGAGGTGTGGAAGAGGCTCTCTGACGTGTTTCAGACAGTCAGGTGTAAAGAGGCAATATGCGAAAAACAAACATGTACGCCTTTTCTGCTTCCCTCTAATCCAGATGCAGTTATCATCCTGAGATTAGTCTGAGACAGAAGGACAAGGGACAGGACCACGCGCGTAATCTCCCACTGATCCGGTAAGACAAGACAGAAGATGATATTTGTTGGAGCAAATATATTCTTTACAAATGGATTTGCTTCTTCATAGATACATGCAGTTATGTTGTAGCCTGTATGGTTTCAAAGAACATTCTGTTCTCATGGAAATACTCATTCTGGTGACCCAAATGTGATCTACATGCATCTGAATTCACACACACATATATTTCTCATGCAGTCTACAGGACATAAATACTTTTGTCTTTCAGCTCCTGAAAGCATGAATCCTCTGTACGTGTCTGCGCTGCTCTATTTTCTTCTCCTCGGCTTCCTGCCTCCTACAGGTAGGCCTGCATCAGCAGCTCATACACGCCATTACACACGAACGGACCTGACAATATAATAAACACTCATTCTGACATGACAGACAAGTTGTGAAATCGTGTTCACACCTCTTTCTGTCACTGTCTCCTCTGACAGGAGCAGAGGAGAGTGATGGAGGAGAGGAGGTGAGGGAGAAACGGAGCCTACCCTACTGGGGCCTGTGGTCGTCAGACTTTTTCGGGTGGCTGGAGGAGCTCCGAGCCCGGGCGGCTCACGACGGGATGCAGGACCTGGCTCGCACCTTCTGGGCGCACTTCCCCATCGGCAGTGAGCTGGGCTACGACAGTCCGGAGTCTGACCCTAAACCTGAGAGATGAGGCAGAGACGGGGTAGAGACAAGAGATTTAAAAGTCTATATGGTGATGGTTTAATAATGTTTACAGTTTAGACCATCAGTATCAGTCTGGAGACTTATATATGTATAAAATAACATTTCAAATTCATCACTTTTTTTCTGTAACATTTTTTTCTTGTCTTCTAACCTTATCAAAACATCCATTTGCCACAGACTGAGCTCAAACATTCAAATGGAAATATGGGTTATACATAAACAATAATTATTTGCTTGCCAAAAATTCAAATACAAAGAAATGTACAGTATATTATTCAGTGATGACATCATGTTTGACATCTATTGCACCTCTGTGTTTTTGTTTTTCCTTATCTGCTGTGAGGGTCAAAGGACAAAGTGGTGTCGCATGCTGTAAAGCCCTCTGAGGCAAACTGTGATTTGTGATATTAGGCTTTATAAATAAAATTGAACTGAATAGAACTGAATGTGTGGTGTCATTGAGCCCTGTGGTTCCCGACCTTTTTCCATAATGGACCTCATCCTTGGGTAAACTAATGACCTCTGATGAAGTGACATATTTTATGGATATTTCATAATGTATTGCATTAACAGAATAATGTGAACTGCATAAATAACCCAAATGGTGAACACATTTAATGCAGGAAGTTTGTGTTGAACAAGCAACTTGGATGAATTTTAAGCAGATTATTTCCTGAATGTTGCATCAGAGATGAGTTTCCCTGATATTTTAGTAACTTTTTATATATTTTTCTGCCTGTGTTATGTATCTAATACATTTTTAACAAGCATAAATTCTTAAAAGGCTTCTTTTTTTGACAAATTCTGTGTTTTCCTCTCCCTGACCCTTGGGCATTGGTCTGTTAGCTCTTTGGTTGTTTTATCTGCCTGCTTATCTAATGCAGGACGCAGCTGTTTAGCGTCGAGTGAAGACTGTGTGAACAGAGTTTGTGTTGTGGTCTTCACTGTGCCCTTATCCTGTGAGATTTATTTGAGTTTCTACATTGAAAATTATTTTGAACTAGACTACAAAGAAATAAATTGAATGCTGAGGTATAGGGCTTCTGTATTTAAAAAAAAGTTTTTTACACCCCTCTAAATCAAGAAGGCCTTGCGACCCCTCGTGAATCTTTGGCGACCCCCAGGTTGGGAACCTTTGAGAGGTCTAATGTCTGATGACAGATATCCAGATACATTTAGTTAAGATTTGGGAGGTGTGGTGCTGTGTCGATTTCTTTGGTCATTCTATTTAAATCAATGGAGGCGATGGAGTAAATGACAGAAACACGTCTCTGTATAATGGAATACAATATAACAGCAATATTGTTTTAGACTGCATCATATTTAGCAAAGTGTGCTGAGCAAACTGGCAATTGACTTTACTTTGCTGATCATCCTGTGTGTCTTTATTTGCGAAGGATTTTGAATGCAGGCCCCTTTCTCCTAATGGAGTCATCTTACATTTGTAAATGTCTTGTATTGGCACTTTTACATGAGTAAACATTCTGAATATTTATTTCCCCCCTCAAGGACTCAGACATTCCAAACCAAAGTAATCTATATTTTTTCCTGCAGCAGACTTTTAAAGCATGCTATCAGTTAAAGATCCTATTCGTAAGAAATTCTTGTAAACTCAAGAAAAGTGAAATGTCAAGGATGTGAAACAGTGGTTTCATTCAGCTGGACTTGAACAGAACATCTAACTCTAAAGCAAGTTACCTCTGTATGTGTGTGTGATTTGACTCATTTGATCTACTTCACACTCGGCAGGTGTATTGCTGGGGACCCTGGACTTACAATGTTGAATCTGCTGCTATGTGAACAGGCAACATGTTCAATATTAATAAATTTTGCATGAACAAGTGAACTGAGCTCTGTGCAGCAGCGGGGGCAGGGCTGCAGGGGGTTTGTAGATGCTGGGTACAGATCGTTCTCCATCGCTCTTTAAGCATCTGTGATGTAACTTTTAAAATAAATACTTTTGTTCCCGAGGAACATAGCATCAAGTGTGGAGTTGTTTTGATGAGCGGTTCTAAAGAAAGCTGCAGGTTAACTACAGTAACTCACCCCTGCCTGTGCGCACACAAGAGAGAAGAGGGAGGGAGAAACACTGTGTTGCTGCCAGAGGAGCTGCTGCCTGAATTTACCAAGCATGGAGCCCAAACTGTAACTAACTGCACTCCCTGAAGAAATATTATCATATTTTTGGAAAAATGAAACAGTGATTCCAGAGAGAAGCAGACAGAGGGCTCTACAGTCTGTGTTTGAAGGATATATCCAAGATGTCAAACTGACTCAGCAGCAACAACAGGTTAAAAAGACAAAGATAGTTAGAAGCTAAAGCCGAACTATAGGCTACAGATCACAGTGTAAAAGTGAACCACCACATCACTGCTGATCGCCACACAAGACAATGAATATAAAGGGAAACTTTGTTGATATTGAACCAGCTGTGTGGCATCGCAGTGTGTGCAGATGAACAGTGTGTGGCTTCCCCCATGTGGCACTGGACGGGCAGAAATCAAATAACGTTCATCTGCACACAATACAATGACACACAGCTGGTTCAATATCAACAAAGTTTCCCTGCTTCCCTTCACTGGTTCCTGTACAGCAGGGTCGCTCTTTGTTTCACTGTTATAATCATTACAAAGCAAAAGCAGCATGTGTATACATTCAGTAGGCTATATCTTCAGTAGCTAGCTAGCTAACCCTACACTTTTCAGGGTTTGATTTTGGAACAGGGAAGAAACATATCTTTTTCCAACTTCTCCAGGTAACGAGTATCATTAATACACGACGTGCCCCAGGCACAACATTTAGCTCCAAATCCACTAAACCAGCCTGTAAATGAAGGAAATCTGAAACGACTGCATTAGAGTCAACGGAGCACAACTGTGTTGTTGTCAGACCCTGGTCTGAGCTGGCCTGATGCTACGTTATGATTGGCCAGTCTGTGTCCAGGGTGAGACTTAGCAAGGGGTCAATTCTGGCTCCAAAACTCCAAGATGGCAACGGCCAAAATTCCAAACTTGACAGTTCAAAATGGGAGTTCGCAAAACAATGATGTCATGGATGCTACATACATTTTACTGTCTACCGTTTACTCTGAGCAGCAGGTAACAAAATGGGTCTGGAATGTCTCAAAGTCTGGCAAGAAAGCATATGTCATATAAAAACTAAAGTAATGGTCAAAATTGTCACCGTGAAATTTAAGGTGTGCTGATGGATTCACGTCGTCAACTCATGCATTGAGTAACATTATAAGTAAACGTTCCACCTTAAAAGTCACGGGCAGTCGGCCCAGTGAATTAAGTTATTCTTTCTCCGACTCCAGCTGCTGTGAGAGGCAGCAAAACATCCTTTCATTTTATAGTTACAGTCTACTATAAAACTCTCCACAGTATGAACAGTGGTTACATGAACCTCAAAACCAGCCACAACTCAGCCCTGAGCAGAGTGACAGTCCTCTACTGACCAATCAACAGACTGCAGTGTTCACAGCTCCACCTTTTAGTACCAGATCTGTGTGCTAGGTACCCCAACAGAGGGGGGACCAAAAATGGGGACGGTACAGAATGGTTCCATTGGTACCATCCACAACTTGCGTGTTGAAATGAACTATACTGTAGTGCTTGGTAGAAACAGGGCTTATGTCTAGCGAGAAAGTCACTGAGTTGACAGAACTGTGTGTGTGTGTGTGTCTGGTGTTCGCATGTGAGTGAGGGGACGGGGATAGCTAAATTTCCCACACAAGATTCAGTAACTGTATGAGCTCATAATTCATATTCATAGTAAATATTTTTGCAGTAGGGCACCCATCCTGAAGCTCGGGTTAGACAAAGATTTAGAAAGTTATGGAATGAAAGGAGGAAAATGTGTTTTGGACTAAAGCTCAATGTACATTTCTGATCTCAGGGTGTTTCAGTTCCTGCAACAAACACACAAACACGCTGACATATTTGAGAGGATTACCTTATTCTGCTTTATCTTAGTCCCAGAATGCTCTGACGCAGACATGTTCATTTCACGGTTTAGTGGACAAACAAAAAGAAGCTTTGCACCCGATCTGAGTCATCGTATATAGTGAGGTTTTGCTCTTCTTCTCAGCTCAGTGTGGGGTACTGTACATTTGGATGGAAGAGATCGAACAGGAAGTCAGATGACTCATGATGTTTTTAGGCTTTCAAGCAAAGATTTCTGAATCTCAAATTTTGCTCATAAATCCACAGGCATCTGTTTTCCCTTTCTGCTCCTCATCTGCAAGGAAAATATGCACCTGAGGGCAGCGAGCCTTCGATAAGACTCGCTAAGTAGGAGTCAAGATCTCAGCCTGCTCCCTTTCAATGAATAAAAACACAAGGGAAATCATATCTATAGGCATGTCTGTGCTTAGCGCTGAGGCTCGTGCCTTTCACGGAGCTTCACAGCACACCAGCCATGACTCAAGATTTCTCAGGTTCAATCCACTTCAGAATGAGCTGACCTTTTCTCTTTAATGCCCAGTGAGAGCGTGCAGCTGAATCCTGCTCCTGTGTGAAAGCTGGAGGAATGCAGAGTTCATAAAGAGGACACAGCCACTGTTGTCAGAGCCTGATCAATAAAATAAAGAAAAGAAAAAGTACACAAGCTTATTCATCTGTATTCTTTTGCCTTTCACCTCAACCCTCTTTCTGTCTTTTGTTTCGCTGCTCACTTCACCTTCTCTCCAAACCCATCATGAAAGCAGTGCGATCGTCTGCCAGCTTCTGGGTTTCCTGCATTCCAGCTCAGAGACTGTTTGTAGCTCACAGCCAAATGCTTTCCCTCTCTCACACACACATTGATCGTATTACAAGTTCAAGTCCAGTCGAGGGAGGATTTCTGAATGAAACCTCTATAAAGTGAGTTTATCATTCAATCTAGCATCAGAAAGGCTGCGATTACTGTATGTACAGCTGCTCTGTACTGATGAACAGTGACTCCAGTCAGCAGTCGTTAAAGTGAGATTAAGTAACTTTTCATGAACAATTTAACAAACTTCTCAAATGTGAATTCATAAGTGGTTCTGCAGCTACAGCCTTACTTGGTGTGGTACAACCAGCAGCTTAT